CTAGAGTAACTAGTGACATATATAAAAAAGTAATCAAGAAAGAAATAAAACGAGCCAGAACTTTCAAGGAAGTGTCATCAGATCCACCACCAGTTATTTTTTTATCTGGAGACAACTGGAGCCAACTGGTGACAGAAATTCAGCATACTTTAATGGGACAAGGTATGTAAACATATATCTTGCTACTAGGGCCGACTAGGGACAAAGTAAGTCGATAGCATCCCTGATAGCAATTAGATAACATTTCCGATAGCAATTACACAACGCATATTTGATGAATCAGAGATGAGTTAAAGACTCGAAGCTCAGCTTCCTCGAGGCTCTGCCTTCCTATAATTATTAGTCAAAGTTAACCCGCCTTTTTACTACGTATGTTCTCGAATATATTTCTGATGTCAAAAAATCCAGCAATCGAAATCAGCATACTTTAATATAATGTACTCGATAGTATTTTTTGATAGCATTGTGGAATAGCATTTATGTGATATAGTTAGCATATATTTTTGATAGCATTAATCAGGCCCTTTAGGGGCGTTTCTTCGAGACATAGCATAATCAGATAGCATGTATATAACATACGCGATAGCAATTACGCAACGTATATTGATGGCATTCCCCGATAACATTTACGATATATGTATCAGGCCCTTTAGGGGTGACTCTTCGAGACATAGCAATTGCACATACATGTTTGATAGAATACCTGATAGCATTAGCCCTCACAATGATGATATATAATTGGTTGCATCGTCAGATATATATTTTTTTGCCTATGTGAGCCAACCGGCTACGACTACTAAGCTGGCATACATTATATTTGTATCGCATGTGACCTGATATAAAAAATGCGCCACCTTGGTGCGTATCGTAAAATGCAAAATGCACGTCACTCAAGCGTGACCTAAAATGCAAAATGCGTGCCATAATAGCATATGTCTCAATGGTTCACAATCAGCGATACAAATGTAATCTATATAACGCCCAATATATAGACTATAAACGTTTTATCTTGGTGTCATAAAAAACAAAATACACCACACTCGAGTGTATCATAAAAATTGGATCACAACACCTTAGTCCGTATTATAAAAATTGGATCACGATACATATGACACTGACGATGGTGTCATATTTCTGTCGTCACGACACATGACTGATAGGGAATGACCTGGGGATCCCGCTAGATGCCCATAACCTACCTTGGGTAGCTCTTTATATTCGAAATCAAATATAGTCACCATATACTATACAATTTTAAATAACGAATTTAAAAATCTAGAAGCTTTAAAACATTATACAGAGTAGACACCTACCAACTAGCATAACCTAATTCAGGGAGTATCTTAGTTTTAAAATCAACCGCGATTGTCAAATTGATATACATTGTGTCATATGTGATCTGATGACAGAAATCGGCCACACACTAATGTGACCAAAATTATGAAATCAGCCTCACACCAATGTGGCCAAAATTATGAAATCGGCTACACACCAATGTGGCCAAAATTATGATATAGACCACATTATAAGCTAAGTGGAAATAACCTAAGCTAAGTGGAAACAACATAATTATGTTGTTCCCACTCAGTAGTATATGATATGGATACTCTCTGGGTCATCCATACTACACCATGTTCTCTGCTTGCTTTTTCTTTCTTTCAGGCATGATCAAGGGTCCAAGGATGCTTGTTCCAAACAAGTTGAGGACTGGGTTACCAAAGCATCTGTGTTCACATCGCGTAACCTGAGTACTGAGTTTTTCAGTAGCTAAAGGATGCTTCTATGTGTATGTTAGGTTCCCATGCTGATCGGTCAAAGTATGGTTTCAAAAGAAAGAGATTAATCGGAGTAGCAAGAACTTTTCCTTCCATCGTTCTGAGTTTGAAGACATTGTTTGGCAAGGTATCATGGATATAAAGGGTCCTTTCCATTTAAGCTTGAGCTTTTCTGTAAAATGTTTATCTCTGGTGGCATTATATATTAATACCTTATCTCCGATTTTTAATTTTTTATATCTTGTTACTTTTTGATCAAATCTTTGTTTCTGTTTTTGTTGTCCCTTGCAG